CTTGCGCCTTTGACTCAAGCTCCAAACTCTCATGTTTTTTCATGAGAGCCTGAAGCTCTTGCTGCACCTCGCCGACCTGAGCCCCAAGTCTGTCTTCGCTCGGTGCGCTCCGCGGCCGTTTTCTTTTCGGCCTCAGACAGTGCCTGCTTAAGGGTCGCCACCTCAGTCGTGGCCCCTACAATAAGCAGTACAATCCTGTTATTTTTTTTGCAATCATGCCTTTTTATAGGCACTTTTTCTGTAAGGTATTTCTTACCTTCTTTCTCCTCGAGCCGCCGCTTGGCAAGGCCGAGCTCTTGCTCGGTCCGCTCGAGGTCCTGCTTCAGGACACCCACCTCTGCAGTCAGTGCGGCGGTGGATAGCAGCGAAGCCTGCATACGCATATTGACTCTTTTTTGTTAGACTCCTGCGAAATTTAATAGATCCTCTATTCGGCTTTTCTTTCCGAACGCCAAACAGAGCATCAGGGGCTATTGTCTATGCGGTAATATTTTTACATATTTTTACTTACCTCGAAGCCTGTTAGAAGGCTAGCGCAAGCTTCAGTCAGTCCGCTCTTGGCGGACCGAACCTTCTGGATCACCGTACTCATAATAGTACGGTGCCCCTCGTCGATGGAGGCGCCGTCAAGTACCTCCAGCAGATTGTCCGGCACCTTCGGTTGGATGGAGGCCGCCGGCTCAGAAGGCTTGCTCCTCTTGGAAGGAGTTCGCCTACCGCGGTCCAGAACTGTGGAAGATTCCGGCGCGGTGTCCGGCACAAAGCTAGACTTGGAGCCCTGGGGGGCCTTATCCCATTCACTCCTGGAGTCTGGGAGGTTGCCTTGCGGCTCCTCCGGGACCACCTCCTCCTGCCCCGGAGCTTGTCGCGACGCCACTTCGGCGTCGTCTGCAGTGCGGGGGGAGACAGTGGGCGGAACTGAGTTCACGTCCGATGAGTCCAGGGAGCCGCCCGACGATTCGTTGAATTCGGCCCGGGGCGGGCTGCATAATTACGTTCGACATTAGGGAAAGCTGTGCAACAAAGGAACATCATGAGTTACTCTGATATCCGAACTTACGATTTTGCCGGACGCTTGGCCCTGTTTGGTCACTCCTCTTCGCCCTCTTCGGCGTCGGGGGAGTAGTCCGGCGGAGGGGTCTTCCTTTTCCTAGACCCCTCGGCCTCCCCCGTCGGGGCGGCCTTCCTCTTCTCTCCTAACTCCGCTGGGGGGGAGAGTTTTCTTCTTCCTCCTCCTCGTTTTCACGGGAAGAGGGCGTCTCGGACTCGTCGGATGACGAGTCCGACACCACCATGTTATGGGCACTCTTTCGAGTCCCCGTGGTCTTCTTCTTCTTGGTCTTCTTCTCCAGCACCACATAAGGCGCCGAAACCAGCAGCTTCACTAGTAGAGCTGGGGCTGGGTCTTCGGGCAGCGGAGCCGGACAGTTAATCGGTCCGGATATCGCCCGCTAAGCCTGTCAAAGGTAAGGGAGTTTAGATCCCGCATAGAGTCAAACTATGAAAAAAGCTTAACATCCTGTAAAAGGTGAAGATAGCTTACCTCGCTAGCGTGACGCTGCGAGCTGTATCCGCGGTCCTCGTAAGTGGATGCGGGAGCCTCGGCGCCCTTGAATAGCACCTTCCAGGCATCTTCGTACGTCGTGTCGAAGAGCCTGCTAATTGTTTGGTGCTGCGCCGGGTCGAACTCCCACAGATTAAAATCCCGTTGTTGGCACGGGAGGATCCGGCGGACGAGCATAACCTCGATTACATTAACAAGCCGGATTGGCTTGTTCACCAGGGACTGGATGCATGTTTGCAATCCGGTCACCTCTTTTTCATCACCCCATGATAGGCCCGTCTCTTTTCAGGACATAAGCCGCGTGGGGGGTCCGGATCGGAACTCGGGGGCTGCGATCCATTTCGGATCGCGTGGCTCGGTGATGTAAAACCACCCGGATTGCCACCCCTTTAGGGTCTTCACAAAAGAGCCCTCGAACCATAGGACGTTGGCCATCTTGCCCGCCATGGCGCCTCCGCACTCCGCCTGGCTGCCGCTCACCACCTTGGGCTTGACGTTGAAGGTCTTGAGCCAGAGGCCGAAATGAGGGCGGACGCGGAGGAAAGCCTCGCACACGACGATAAACGCCGAGATGTTGAGAATGAAGTTCGGGGCCAGATCGTGGAAATTCAGGCCGTAGTAGAACATGAGCCCCCGGACAAATGGGTGGAGTGGAAAACCCAGTCCGTGGAGGAAGTGGGGAAGAAATACTACCCTCTCATGGGGCCTTGGGGTGGGGAGAAGCTGCCCCTTTTCGGGAAGCCGGTGCGCGATGTCCTTAGACAGGTATCCGGCCTTCCTTAGCTTCTTGACTTGGCCCTCCGTGGCGGAGGAGACCATCCACTTGCCTCCCGCTCCGGACATTGCTGGAGAAGGCTGAGGTGGGTAGTGCGGGCTTGGGCGCTGGAGCTCGAGTGCGCAGGAGATGGATAGGCAAAGGAGGAAGAAGGCGTAGGTAAAAAGGTGGATCCTTATCCCCTTATATGGGCGGATGCAGTTGTGCGTCCCCACCAGCCTAGTAAAACTCGCTTGCCTCCCAAGCGCCGTGATAAATGGCGCGGTTGGGTTACCCGCGTCCGTATTGATGAGAATCCCGTAAAATGGGGTACACGATCTCTGCTTTGACAAGACGTGCCAAGGAAACCGCCTCGCAAAACGTGCTGAGGTGGAAAAGTAAAAACGATTCGAGTAAAGGACTTGGCCGTAGTGTGATGACGCACTGCGGAATACGTCAGCAGATTTGATTTGTGTTAATATTATTCTCTCTATGGCAATACGTGGAAACTTATTTTGCAGAGCCGGACACTACTCTTGGTGTTTGCAATCTTCTATGAAGGACTTGGAGGAGGAACCCGCCTTGCAATGCCGAAGACAATTTGCGCGCCGGACTCGTCGTCATTGAAGCCTGGTTCAGGAGCTACTGAGGGAGTCCTGGATTAGGGGGTGTTCGGGTAGCCGGACTATACCTTCAGCCGGACTCCATGACTATGAAGATACAAGATTGAAGACTTTGTCCGTGTCCGGGTGGGACTTTCCTTGGCGTGGAAGGCAAGCTTGGTGATGCGGATATTTAAGATCTCCTACCATTGTAACCGACTCTGTGTAACCCTAACCCTATCCGGTGTCTATATAAACCGGAGGGTTGTAGTCCGTAGGACATCAACTCCATATACAACAATCATACCATAGGCTATCTTCTAGGGTTTAGCCTCCTTGATCTCGTGGTAGATCTACTCTTGTACTACCAATATCATCAATATTAATCCAGCAGGAGTAGGGTATTACCTCCATCAAGAAGGCCCGAACGTGGGTAAAAACATCGTGTCCCTTGTCTCCTGTTACCATCCGGCCTTGACGCACAGTTCGGGACCCCCTATCCGAGATCCGCCGGTTTTGACACCGACAACACCCACCACAACTAGGATGAAAATAAAAAATTTCACACTTTCCTTGTCATGTAGTAGGAATGAGAGCCATGATAATAATACTTTCTCGTGATTTTTCAAGAATTTACTGGACATAATAATGAAGCTAAAATCACAAAATTCCATCATATCTCATGGGGCCCACCGGTACAATCCATGTGGTTGTAAGAAAAGCGCGTTCGTTGTTCGTTTTTGCTGACCCAACCAGTGTTTCTCCCAGCTCCACACATGGCCAAGATTCTCTTACTGTGCAGACAGACTCTAGTCCAACATGCTCTCCCAAACTCAACACACACGGCAATCCAAGCTTCCAAGTTTAGTCAAGCCCACCTTCCAATGGAACTGTTCGTGCACCACTCTGCCCGTGCTACGCGGCGCTTATCCCCCGGTGATCATCGGCATCCTCACATTGCTCACAGCACCAGCACGACTCCACAGCCTGAATGGCCGTCCACGCCATCCTCCTCCTCCTCCTCCACCTCGCCACGGTTCTCCCGCACGCCGCCCTCGCCGCCTTCTCACCGGACTTTTCATTCTTCCTCGCATGCGGCGCCAACTCCTCCGTCTCCTTCCCATCCAACTCCCCCGCGCCTACCTGTCGCCAGCGCGCGCCCAGGCAGTGTTCGCGACCTCCACCCCGGGCTCCTCCCCAGCCCTGTACGCCGCCGCGCGCGCGGACATCTCGGCCTTCTCCTACCGCCTCGCCTACCCCGCCTCGCCGGAGGCGCCGTCGTTCCTCGTCCTGCGCCTCCACTTCTTCCCCTTCTACCCCGCCGCCCCCACAGGCTCCTCTCAGTATATCATCAACATCTTGTCCGCGCGCTTCACTGTCTCGATCCTCAACGCCTACCCCCTGCTGTCCTCCTTCAGGCCGCCGCCCGCCGGGGTGGTCAAGGAGTTCTTCGTCCCGCGCGGCGTCGTTGGCGGCAATATCACCGTCACCTTCACCGCGGACGCCGGCTCCTCCGCGTTCGTCAACGCTGTCGAGCTGTTCCCGGCCCCGCCGGAGCTGCTGTGGAACAACACGGCGACACTGGTGGGCGCCGCAGTGAACGACGACATGGAGCTGTGGCAGCAGCAGCCGCTTGAGACGGTGTATCGCCTCAACGTCGGCGGGCCCAAGGTGACAACCGGGAACGACACGTTGTGGAGGACGTGGCTCCCCGACGGCCCCTACCTCTACGGGTGGCAGTCGGTGGTCAGTTCGACCTCCAGCCCGATCATCTACGCCCCGTCCAACGGTTACACACAGGAGGTGGCGCCGGACGTGGTGTACAAGACGCAGAGCGCGGCGAACATGACGGACCTCCTGCAGGCCACAACCCCGGGCTTCAACTTCAACGTCACGTGGCGGAGCTTCCAGGATCCCGCTACCTCGTCCGCCTCCACTTCTGCGACTATGAGGTGCTCAGCTCCGTCGTCGGCGTTGGCATCGTCTTCAACGTCTATGTCGCGCAAGCCCTTGGCACCAGAGAGCTCACGCCTAAGAACCGGCCTGAGGCGAGGCAGTCGAACGAGGCCTTTTACATGGACTACGCAGCCAGGGCGCCGAGAGCCGGGAACCTCACCATCAGCATCGGCTGGTCGCCGAAAAGCAGCGGAGGCGGCATACTGAACGGGCTGGAGATCATGAGGCTGCCACCCGTCGATTTGAGCTCGAGGGGATCGCACGGCGGGACGAAGAGAATCATTGTCGTTACGGTGTCGGTGGTGCTCAGCGCCGCCGTTCTTGCTTGCGTGGTGCTCTGCTTTTTCGGCGTGCCGTACACCAAGTACGGCGCCTCCGTCTGGGCTGAGCAGTTGAAGAACCGGTGGTCCAGAGAGCGCAAGACCGGCGGGATGGAGAGGGTGAGCACGAAGCTGCACATCTCGCTGGCGAAGATCAAGGCCGCCACGGACAACTTCCACGAGCGCAACCTCATCGGCGTGGGCGGTTTCGGGAACGTGTACAAGGGCGTGCTCGGTGACGGCACGCCCGTGGCGGTGAAGCGCGCCACCCGCGCCTCGCAGCAGGGGCTGCCGGAGTTCCAGACGGAGATCGTGGTGCTGTCCGGCATCCGGCACCGGCACCTGGTGTCGCTCATCGGCTACTGCAGCGAGCAGGCGGAGATGATCCTGGTGTACGAGCACATGGAGAAAGGCACGCTGCGGAGCCACCTGTACGGCTCCGACGAGCCGGCGCTGTCGTGGAGGCAGCGGCTGGAGATCTGCATCGGCGCGGCGAGGGGCCTGCACTACCTGCACCGAGGCTACGCGGAGAACATCATCCACCGCGACGTCAAGTCGACCAACATCCTCCTCGGGAGCGACGGTGGCGGCGTGATCGTTGGTCGTGGCCAAGGTGGCCGACTTCGGGCTGTCGCGCATCGGGCCGTCGTTCGGGGAGACGCACGTGAGCACGGCGGTGAAGGGCAGCTTCGGGTACCTGGACCCGGGCTACTTCAAGACGCAGCAGCTGACGGACCGGTCGGACGTCTACTCCTTCGGCGTGGTGCTGCTGAAGGTGCTCTGCGCGCGGCCGGTGATCGACCAGAGCCTGGAGCATGGCCAGATCAACATCGCCGAGTGGGCGGTGAGGACGCGCGGGGAAGAAGGGGGGCTCGACAAGATCGCCGACTCGCGGATCGCCGGCGAGGCGGACGAGGAGTCGCTGCACAAGTTCGCCGAGACCGCGGAGAAGTGCCTGGCGGACTGCTGGGTAGACCGGCCGTCCATGGGCGACGTGCTGTGGAACCTGGAGTACTGCCTCCAGCTGCACGAGACGAACGTCGCCGGGAACGAACTCGGCAACAGCGGCGCCGTCGCCACGCAGCTCCCAGGACGTGGTCGTGGGCGTGGGCGTGAGCTTGTTGACGGACGACGAGGACGAGACCTGCTTGAGCATGACCGAGCTCGGCGACAGCAAAGTGTTCTCCCAGATGAGCGCCCGCGGCGAGGGACGATGATCTGAAGTTGGTACACCAATTGTAGAATTTTTTTCCTTTGGCGTTCCCTGAAACGTCTGAACCCCATTTAGATGGATGCTGCAAAGCTTCAGAAAAATAGAGCACCCTCTCCTATTTCATTTGTCTAAAATCAACGTTCAGCACAGGGGCATTCACCAAACAGTTTTGCTAAGTCTCACTCCGTTGATACTTCGTTACTCCCTCCATTTTTTTAATCTGCATATAAGGTTCGATCAAAGTCAAGTTTTTGTAGAGTTTGACTAATTTTATATTAAAAAATATAGACATTCACAATATGAAATCTATATTATCAGATGCACCATGAAACGTATTTTCATACTATATAGTTTTAATATTGTAGGTGTTCATTTTTTTATATAAATTTGGTCAAACTTTGTGTAGTTTGACTTTGACCAAATCTTATATGCGGAATAAAAAGAAACGGAGGGAGTATATCTCAGTCGATGCCATATTTATTAAAAAATGCATGAGGATTGACAGGTGTCTGAAAAGGGTATTACTAAATCTCAGTCGACTGAGATTTAACCAAGTCCCAATCAAATAACATAACATATAAAAGAGAAAAAGAAAAAATGAAAATAAAATTATGCACGGATCTCAATATAAGATCTCACGGGTATAGCATCGACTGAGACTTAACTGAGACTTAGCAAGACTGGTCTGAAAACTAATTTTGGATTAGTCACTATTTTATTGTTCTTAATTACTGTGAGGTCCCGCCCTGCATGTGCATGCACACACTGCTGCACGACTGCACGCTGTCTAGCCTCGTTTATACTCCAGTTAACACGCCATGCTTGAGCTCCCCGGACCACGCGACATATGTGGTAAGCAATCCGATCAATTCAAAAAAAATGCATAAGCTGCTCGGTGATGCTCCATGCCTTCAGATTTATGACTGTACTGTTTGAGTTGGACTAGAAGTGAATTTCCAACATGGCAGACGTATACAAATCTCCATCTACTCTTTTCTACGTGACAAAAAACAACAAATGAATAAAATTAGAATTGGAGCCATAAACATTAGCACATGGGAGATAAAAAATGATTTTATTCCTATCGATTTTTTTTTCTTGTGAGTCAATAAAGACATGCACTAATAAAAAAAGTTTGGTCCCAATCGTCATTTCTAATATCACCCGGGCCTATGCAACAAATAAACAAAAGTCCATTAGATACTTGGTCTTGGTCTGAAACATAACAAAAAAACTAACCCAATACCTGGTAAGACATAAGACAAATATGATAATAAATAAAACAAGAAGTAAAACTAATTGCAAAAATTCCAATATGCTATAATAAACATATAATAGTTGAACTTTTGAAGAAAAAAAATTCTAAGAACGGATGAATTAGCACATTGGTATTACCCTTGAAGAATAAACAAAATGAAATATTAAACTAAAATAAATTAAAAATATTGAAATTTTCCAAGGAAAAATGAACTAGTGGTATTGGTATTACCCTTTAAGAAGAAATATAATAAAATTATAGTAATGAAAAAATTTCCACATAATATACATAGAAATTGCGATTTTCTGTAATATGGAAGTATAATCATATAATATGGAATTTTTGCAAAAAGGAATTCGTACGAAATGAATGAACTAGTGACATTAGTAATACCCTTAGGAACAAAGAAAATGAAATATAAGCTAAAAAATCAAAATATGAAGTTTTCTAGGAAAGAATGAATTAGTGGCATTTGTATTATCCTTTAAGAAGAAAGAAAATGAAAAAAATTCTAAAACAAAAATTTCACACAATTTACACAAAAATCGTGTTTTTTTATAATATGCAATAATAAGCACATAATAGTGGGGGTTTTCACTAAAAAATGTCATAATGAAGAATGAATTAGTGGCATTGGTATAACCCTAACCCATAAAAGCAAGTGAAATATGAACTAAATCAAGATCTAGTTTCATAAGAAAGAATGAATTAGTGGCATTTATATTACCCTTTACGAAGAAAAGAGATGAAACAAAAACTAAAACTAATTCAAAGTAATGAAGATTTCTAAGAAAGACTGAATTAGTGACCTTGATATTACCCTGACAAAATTTGCACACAATTTAACAGAAATTATGCTTTTTATAATATGCATGTATAACCAATTTTAGCATAAAAATGTTTCCAAGGAAGGAATGAATTAGTGGCATTGTTGTTGCCCTTGAAGGAAAAAGAAAAAGAAATATTAACTAAAAAGTCAAAATAATAAAGTGTTTGAAGGAAGAATGAATTAGTGTGATTTGCATTACCCTTTAAGAAGAAAGAGAACGAAAAAATCTAAATCAAACAATTACAAATTTGCACATTACATAAAAAATATGTTTTTTCATAATATCCAAGAATAAATATAAAAGGTGAAATTTTCGCAAAAAAGGAGTTTTGCAAGAAGTATTGAATTAGTAGCATTGGTATTACCCTTAAAAACGAAAACTAAATCAAAATATTTTTCTAAGAATAATGAATTAGTGACTTTGATATTACCCTTTAAGAAAACAATAATTAAAAACTATAACAAACCAAAATAATGTCTAAGGAAATTAATCAGTGGCAATGGTATTATCCTTTAATAGGAAATAAAATAAAATAATACAAAAAATATTAATAAAAAATTGCACACATTATAAAAATTATGTTTTTTTAAAATATACATGAGTAAGCATATAATAGTGGCATTGGTATTACCTTTAAAGAAGAAAAAAATTGAAATAATAGCTTAAACAAAAAATTAAAATAATGGAGTTTTATAAGAACAATGAATTAGTGACACTGGTATTGCCCTTTAAGAATAAAATAAAATAAATATAAATAACTTGCATATAACTTTGCACTGAAAGTGCTCTTTTCTAGTATGAAAAGAATAATCATATAATAGTGAAATTTTCATGCATATTTTATAGTATTTCTATACACATATACACCCACCAAACATCTAAAAAATATCCACAAAAGGTGCCTACTAATAAAGAAAAAAACAAAAGCAAAACAACATAAAGAATAGAAAAACAGAGCAGAAAATAAAGGAAGAGGAGGAAGGGCTAGGTCGTGAATATAATGGGCTTCAACCAATTAAGGATTTAACTAACCCAAAATAGAGGAAAGTCAATTTTTCCCAACCCAAAAAAGATACAAGACACAAAAGGAAAAAAAGGAGCACAAATCATGAAGCAACAATCAAAGGTTACAAAATTGAGTAATCTGAGCAGAATTTCCAGGTAATTTACATATAGCTAAAGTGCAAAAAATAAGTATTTTTTAAACAGAGGCATCATCTCATTAAAAAGGAAAAGAGTTGCCTGGTTAATTGTGAAATCTAGGCAAAATCTGCTACAACCCGCGAAGGGGCACCACCAACCGATCTGACTATGAACACAAAAACCACACATGTTGTCGAGGGAGGAGAACCAGCGATGTTGACTACAAGTGTCATCGTTATCAGTACTCCGTGAGCCAGTGACTTCGCAACAAACCCCACCAGTTTGGCCCTCTTCACGAAGCCTATGCCAAAGAGTTGGCCACCAGGAGAGACGATGAGATAGCTTATATTTTGATGATGATCATATTCAGAAGAAATATGCCAAGCTCACACCAATGAAGGCCTCCTCAAAAGCCATCGAACACCTGTCAATATCACTATCTAGGCCCTCTAAGGCAGCTTTGGCGAGGTTATCTCCTAGAGGGTAGGCCCATGGTGACACAAAACTCAACAAAGGCCCAAGCCTGTATTCTTTACGGTCCAAGACAATGTCAGTAGCATGGGGTTTTTGTCAGTCGGTGTGGGTATCCGTAGAGAGAATTCTGTTGGTTCACAGTGTTGGGGAACGTAGTAATTTCAGAAATTTTCCTACGCACACGCAAGATCATGGTGATGCATAGCAACGAGAGGGGAGAGTGTGATCTACGTACCCTTGTAGATCGACAACGGAAGCGTTAACTTGGTTGATGTAGTCGTACGTCTTCACGGCCCGACCGATCAAGCACCGAAACTACGGCACCTCCAAGTTCTAGCACACGTTTAGCTCGATGACGATCCTCGGACTCCGATCCAGCAAAGTGTCGGGGAAGAGTTCTGTCAGCACGACGGCGTGGTGACGATCTTGATGTACTAC